TACTGCCTTTGCTAAAAAATAGTTGTTTTACAAATCTGTACACTGTTAGTGGTAGGAGCTATATAAAATTTACAAGTCAGTATTTTTAGGGAGATTTTAGAATTTTTAAACTAATTTTCTAGACATCACAGTTCCCTAAGGAATTATCAATCCATCCTATTTGATATATATTCTTTGGCAAATTAAAAATTAGTGATAGCGGATCTAATGATTTATTTATCAAAACTTTTTCATTTTCTAAATTTTTGAAAATGGAATCATTTGCTATTCAAGGTGCAAATATTATTTTAAGCCCCAATTCACTAAATACCCACTGTGTCGTGTATTCATTGTCCATTTAACCCACTCGTTTGATGGTGGGGCAAAGGTGTTATGGCCACCAAAACAAGAAGATATCTTCAGACCAAAAGACCAATCTGGTAACTCCATAGACTATAACGAAATTTATGATACAGTAATTTACTTACTAGAAGATTGGGCCAGAGTTTTGCACAAATAATCTTCACTACCACACCCTTGTAAGGTACTGTTTTTATAGTATAATTTGGATACTCATGTTGAAAAGACAAAGGGACAAATACTTCCTGGTAGTCTTGTGATTGATGGTTGATTATAATCAATACTATCACCAGTTTGATATTTACCTCAGTTGCCATGCCATTCTGGCAGTTGCTAACAGAAATATTTATGGCTACATTTTAAGGAACACAGATAATCATCTACTAGAAGGCTTTGCCGTGCTTGCTGGGGACAGTGAAGTTGGTCAGAGGTTGCAGCGTGGAACTTAAAAATGAAGTGAGATCTGGGACACACGAATAGGGAGTTGGCCTGGCTCACATCTACATCTGTATACTCACTCTTCTCAGGAGTATTTTATTTGTATTGTGCATACATACATATACACATATATGTAACATGTAATGCTGACAGATTTCTTCTAATGAGACTTACGAGGCGTCAGTATTTTGTAATACCTGTATTGTATGTGTGAGAAGGAGAAGAGACAAAATGTGAAATTGTCATGGAAGCCAGTAGGAAAAGATTTACAGGTTTTTGTGCAGTAGGAACAGATATTTTAGAACACTTCTAACATTTTAAGTGATGTCTGTTTCAAATAATGTTGGAGGTTTGGGCTTAAGGGTAGTCTGCTTCATGCTACATCTGTGCCCCTGCTAATAACTGATGCTCTACAGACTTCCTCAAGAACAGATTGCTTCTGCCCTGGCTGGTGTAGCTCAGTGGGTTGAGCGTGGGCCTGCAAACCAAAGGATCGCAGTTCGATTCCCAGTTAGGGCACATGCCTGGGTTGCAGGCCAGTTCCCAGCAGGGGACGCATGAAAGGCAACCATACATTGATATTTCTCTCCCTCTCTCCTTCCCTTCCCCTCTAAAGATACATAAAATCTTTAAAAAAAAAAAAAAGAACAGATTGCTTCTTCATCTTTGTATATCAGAACCTGAAATGAGTCGTTGAAGATTCTGTTGGAAATATAATGAAATGTCTTATTCTCTTGTCTTCAGGAAGTTCATATTATCATTAGAAAAACTCAGAACAGTTGCATACTGCACAGTGTTGGGAGTGTCACAAGGAAGTTTGTGACAAATGGTAAAATTGATGGCAGTTTTAAATGTTTAGAGATTCGAGAATGTGTACTTAGGGCAGAGAAAAAGGGGAAAATGACAGGGATAAAGCAAATGGGGTGGAACTTGAGCTAGATTGAGGAAAAAATAGTGATGGAAAAGTACAATAAAAAAGAAAAAGATGACGTAATGAGCACAAGTCATTTCATGTACTGAACCTCAGTAGAGGAACAGTGGTTCAGGGGACAAAGAAAATCGCCCTGCATCCCTGGCTGCAGCTCTCTATTTTGTAAAGAGAAAATCCACAGTCAGTGTCACTTGGGCAAAGACAGGATGTTTTGAGGTGACAGTCTTGTTGGAACCAAATAATTATATATGTGAATAGAAGAATACAAGGTTGAGATTAATTTGTGGAACACCTTATTTGTCGTATATGGATGGTAGGAAACATCTTTAATTTTTTTAATGGGAATGTAAATTAATTGGACTGAAATAGATATGTTGGGAGATGAGCATTGTGAGGGAAGCCCTTGAGGATAAGAATTTCTCCTGATGTCTCGTTTACATGGCTATTTCTCCTATTAGATTATAGCACAGTTTCCATAAGTAGAAACTTTTATTCAGTTCCATATGCTGAGTTTCTAGAACCATGTCTGGCACACAGCAGGTATTTAATAAGTCTTGATTGCCCAAAGACCATTCAAGGAAGGCTACCTTAGTAGTCCACCTGGATCCGTAGTGGAGCCGACAACAAACCGAGGGGTGAGGGAAAGGCAAGAACTATGGTAACAAGAGAGCCGGACCGTGTGCGTGTCCCAGTTTTCCTTCAAAGGTGCGGGGTGTTGTGGAGCTGCTCGGAAGGAAGACAGTCACCTCAGTCGGATGGCTGGGGCAGAGCAGTAGTGCGTATGCATATCTGTTTAAAGCTTTTAATGGCATCGTATGTCATTATGTCCCATCTAAGTGAGCAATAGATTTTAGTTAGCTGCTTTTAAAACCAATAGTAAAATCAAACAAGATTGAAGCATAAACCAAGATAATCTTTCTTGATCTTCTGCAGATTTTAGTAGCAAATCACAGCATATTTTAGTGTGGGTAATTTCTATCCTTTTTTCATAGTTTCCCCCTTTAAAAAACCTTATGTGTACTGCTTTGTAGTTAACAATGTGCTTTCATATCTTACTTATTCCTTAAACAAAGCTTATTGTGTGAGGTTAGTAGGAATTTTTGTTCCAAATAACAGTTGGGGAAAGGGGTTTAGAGTGATTTAGCACCAAGTAACATAGCTAATTCATTATTAAATTTCTATTTGGAGTTAAATGTAGAAAGAGAATAGCAGAGTACTTGTGAGAGCAAGCTCTGGAGTCAGAACTGGATTTTAGCTCTGGTTTTGCCACTTAATAAACCCTGTGATCATAGGCAGTGTATATGATCTTATTATGGCCTCAGATCCTTCCTTATCTGTAAAATGGGTTGCCATTTTTAGTTAGTTCCTGTAGTTCTACACTATCCAGTGTGGTAACTACTTGCTACATATTGCTATTTAAAAACTCTTTTTCATGCTATCTCATTTTTATTGATTATATTTAAAAATTATAGTATTTTGGATGTGTTGATATAAGTATATTAAAATTAATGTTACCTATTTTATTTAACTTTTTGACATGTGTCTGCTAGAAAATTTTAAATTACATATGTAGCTTGCATTAAATTTCTGTTGGACAGTGCTGCTCCATATCAGATGTTGATAAACTCCAGCTGCCCAAATCCAGCCACATGTCTATTTTTGTTAATAAAATCTTACTGGCACACAGTCATAGCTGTTCAGTTATATACTGCATATGGCTACTTTCACGCTACAGTGGCAGAGTTGTGTGGTTGCTCCATGTAGAACCACATGGCTGGCAAAACCTAAAATATTTACTGTTTGGTCCTTTATAGGAAAAGTTGTCCATGTGCTCTAGACAGTGTGTTGACAGATGCTCAATGTGTCATCTTCACTTAATGGATACCAGAGACAGAAGATGCACGGTGGGTGGCAGTGAGAAAAAGGTAGCAAGGAGGAACTACTAATGGGTACCATGTTTCTTTTGGGGGATGCTGAAAAGATAACTGTGGTAGTTGTGTAACTTCAAATATACTAAAGCTACTGAATTGTACACTTTAAAAGGGTAAACATTATGGTATGTGGGTGATATCTTAATTTTTTTAAAGTAGTTATGAGCCTGGTTTGGTGGATGTAATAAAGCAGGATGTTAAACATGATATATGTTAATGATCATAAGAACATGCAATGAAACAAACATGCAAATCAACTATGGGACGTTTTTAAAAAGAAATTTAATGGTTTTTTTATATACTCCCATTGTCAAAGACAATTTTTAATCACCTTTAGGAAGTCATGCCACTTTAGAATATTTGCAAGTAGTTGATTGATAGGAAAAGCAGTTAGCTGTCATTTATTGTTTACTCAGACCGTTTACTGCTTATCCTTAAAAACACTTACAGATGTCCAATTTCTTCTTCGTTGTAAACTTAACTTTAAGATAGTGTGCAACAATATTTACATAACTAATCTCAATAAATAGTTAAGTGAATACAAAATATAAATAAAATCACTATTTTGTCAATATTAATTATGTCCTGTAAATACTTATCTAAATGTAGAAATCATGGCTTTCTGAAGTTTATTAGCATGCTTTTGAAAGGAGAAAGTAATATTAGCACAAGGGAATTGGCAGGCTGTTCCAAAATGTCCATATCTCATGTGCATATTTTTTTCTTAAGCAAATTGTTAAACATCTACTATATACAAATTCTAGATATTTTCGCATTGCTTTGAAACTGACAAAATATTATCTACTTTCTACAGTTGACTCATTAATTTGTTATAGGTAGGGTTTGCCAAAAATCTGCTTCATGGAATCCAAAACCAGTAATCAATGTATCATTTTTCTTCTGAATGTTGGCAGTAGATTTTTATTTTAGTGCTTTAAAAATACCATATTACAGGACTTTATTTACAATTCAAGTAAAGACAGCACGGTGTCTGAGGGCACAGACTTCGGAGCCAGAGAGACCTGTTTCCTAATTCAACTCCACCGTTTACTGACTTATGTGATCCAGAACAACCTACTTAACATTCACATCTCTAAGACTTCATCTTCTTATCTCTGAAATAGGAGTAATACCTTCTCCATTGAGTTTTTAAAGAATAAGTAAAATGAGTATAAAGTCCTTAGCATGTAGTAACCACTCAATAAATGCTAACCTTGTATTACTGCCATTTTAGTATGTTAAGTTTTCTAATCAAACATAATTTTTTTGGTTGTCAGTGTCATACATTTCATTATGTGTTGCACTGACTCCTACCTTTTCAAACACATGAAATGTTAAGTAACATTTTATTTTACTTTCAGTCAAAGAAAAATAAGAAGAAATCAAAGTCAGATGCTAAAGCAGTGCAAAACAGTTCACGCCATGATGGAAAGGAAGTTGATGAAGGTACTTGAGCAAGTGAAAGGCCTATAGAAAAAAATTTAATCCTTTTCACCAATGTTTATTCTATCAAAGCTGCATTTGTTTTGTTTAATCTTTACCTAGGTCTTCTTTTTAATAACCGTCAATCTTAGTGTACAGACCTGTGGCATTTTTAGGAAATGCTTTTTTATCTAAGTTATTTAAGGATCTGATGACAGTGCTTTTCCGAAAAGGAACCACCTTGAAATTTAAGGTCTAGCTCAGTATATTGAGCATTTGAAAAACCCAAACCATATTTCTGGGGAACAAAGACAAAACAAAGCCATTTGTTTTGTCTTTGTTCCCCAGAAATATGGTTTGGGTTTTTCCCCAGTGTTCTTAAATATCCTATCCCTAGAAGACTGTGTACAAAATTTTTGAGTAAACCATTTATTGTTAGCATCTAATAAACCCATTTATTAGTAGTTATATATAACACTCTTCTATTCTCCTATTGATTTTGCTGAGCAAAATAAATATATACAGGGTAACTTCTATATCATCTTTCCTAAACCAGAGAAGACAGATTTGGTAGAAAATTATAAGAATAAATAACAGCAGTTAGCTGCCTAAAACAGTATAATGATATTAGAATAAATCTTAGCATAAAGCAGTCTTGGTTTTTAGTTTAATATCTAAATTTATCATGGTATTTTTTTGTGCACTGCTCCATTCCATCCCCCCCCCAAAAAAAAACTACAACTTATTTGTTTCCCCCTTACTGAATAACTTTTTTTTTCTGGGGCTGTGTCAGGAGCCTGGGAAACTAAAATTAGTCACAGAGAGAAACGACAGCAACGTAAACGTGATAAGGTGCAGACTGATTGTGGTTCATTGGATTCAACTATCCCTGGGATAGAAAATACCATCACAGTTACCACGGAGCAACTTACAACTGCATCATTTCCTGTTGGTTCCAAGAAGAATAAAGGTATATTAGTGGGACATAAGAGTGATACATCAAATCCAACTCCTTTTAATCTGATATACAAAATATCATCGCATTAAAATCTGATATTTTGAACTGCCTTCATCATTGTACTGATATACCCTTCTTCGTGAGAACATTGTGGACCACACACTGGCTTACCTGATACCACCAGTGATTACTTATTATGCACTGCCTAATGGATGGCCTATTAAGTTAAAATTGCCTTGAATCACATGAGAAAATGATGTTGCCTCTTTTTTCTTGTGTATCACTTTGCCCTAGATCTCTTACATCTCCATTTCTTATAGTGGACAATGCATTAAATGCAATTATTTGTCACCATTTGGCACGTGGGTGCTTTTACTCCACCACAAAACAAGCACGTTCTGGTAGTGCAGATTCTATCTGGATTTCTTACTGCTGTAACACTTTGAGAATGCCATAGGTGATTGATAAATTTAGAGTTATTGACCTAATATTCTTCCCAAATACCTTCAGAGCTCAAATTACCTAATACTGATGGCTTGTTGGTAGCTCTTTACATTGCCATCGTTTTTTACCTTGGGGACATCAATCTGCAGAGCGATACTGTTCAGTCTGCAGAGTGATACAAATTATCTTCCTTTACCTTTTTATTCCCCACCCTGCACTTACCTCCAGACCACTTTCTTAGCCTTGTTTTGTTACCTTTTATTTTTTTGCTTGCTGACTTGGTGGAATTTATTGCTTTGGTACAGCAATGACTCCATTTTCACTGTGACATACTAGCCATACTTTAGTGTTTCTGTTCGTAACTTTTTTCTATTGTCCTGTGCATGCCTTCCTTGCTAGCACAATCCCATGTCGTGCTGGTTTTTTGATACATTGTGATCATTATGCCTTTTAGTGTCAGAAAAATAGTATCTTTTTTATATACATATTCTCACCTCTTGCCCTATTTCGTAAGTCCCAGTCCCAAATACTGGCAAAGTTATCTAGACAATGTGTTTGCGCCCAGGATTGTTGAAACAGCAGCTGGTATTGTGGTGGGAAAATGAGGTGGCAAAGTTGAATCCAATTACAGAGCCCTCTTCTCCAGTTCCTACTTAGAAGAATCTTGATAACCATTACAGAACAGCAGACTTTATTTACTTGGGCAATATCCAGGCCCTTTGTTTGCATTTTAGTTGACTAAGAGTATGGTAACTAAAGAACTCAGTTCTTTAAGTCCATGTGAAATATGTTGTGAGTAAAAATGGCTCTTTTCCAGTGTAAGAATTTAGCAGTTTAAAGGAGCAATTTATTGTAAGTATTGTAGTAAGAAAATTAATTTGTATGTTACTACTTATTTAAGGTGCATAGTGACCTGTTTAGTATTAAATAAATTTTATTTCTATTTCAACCAGGTGATTCTCATCTAAATGTGCAAGTTAGCAACTTTAAGTCTGGAAAAGGAGATTCTACACTTCAGGGTGAGAGAAATTACATGTAACTTAAATTGAAGATCCATCAAAATAGGAACTTATGTACATGTCTTTTTCCTCACATGAATGACACAGAAGGGGAAAAATAGACTTAATGATTTTTAATTCGTAAAGTAATATAATCACAGTCTAGAAATTTTGGAAGATAGATAAAAAGTAAAATTACTCCCAATTCTTTTGTTTTTTAAAGATTTTATTTATTTTGTTTTTTAGAGAGGGGAAGGGAGGGAGAAAAACATCAATGTGTGGTTGCCTCTTGCATGCCCTCCTACTGGGGACCTGGCCTGCAACCCGGGCATGTGCCCTGACTGGGAATTGAGCTGGTGACCCTTTGGTTTGCAGGCCGGCACTTAATCCACTGAGCCACACCAGCCAGGGCAAAATCACCCCCAATTCTAACAGTCTTTGGTATGTTCCAGTTTCCCCTCCCCTCCGTATGTAAAAACATTTTTTTAGTAATGGTTTATATGCAATTTTGATTGTTGCTTGCCTCATTTTAGCCAATGGAGGTAAGGATTTTGTGGGCAGGGGAGCATTTAAACTTGAGTTTAATGTAGGTGTATATGAGATATAAGACATTTCCACTGTTTATTAAGGGGAAAAAAGCCTTTATACCTATAACCTTTTAAACTGCTTATTTAATACTAGCAAGTATTTCACAATAGGTGGAGTACAGTCTGAAGTTATATAGTGCTTCACATATAGAAGATACACTTTATTTATTTGTTTATGATAAAGATTGAATTAAATAGAATGATGTAAGATACCTAAAAACTAAAGTATTGTAGTAAAACATAAATTCCGAAATGAAAAGGCACCTTCTCATTTGAGGCTTGTTGTTAACACTGTCAGCTTTCTTTCTTTCCATGTTCTGAATCCTGGCTACACATTACAGTCATCTAGGAGGCATAGAAAAACAGCATACATGTATAAAAAGGAACGTGTAATTGTATATGCATACACACGTACATACTATGTCTGGGCTCCCTGGAGATTCTCATTTTAATTTGTCTTGGCTGAGGCTCCAGTGCCTACTTTTAAGAAAAATTTTTACATAACAAAAAAGTCTAGGAACAAGCTGGATGTGATATGAAGTTACTTTTCAGTTCTAGTATTATAAGGAATGTTGCGGTAAACATGTCTCATGCATGAAGGAAAAAGAAAGAAAATTTTCAGTTGATTTTAATGTGGAGCCAGGTTTTAGAATAACTGTCTTATACAGAGTCTATATGTAAACATGTAGCAGGATGTCACACTAATTTTCACTGGGGGCTGTATAGCCTTGCAATTGCTTTCAAAGACCCAAATGTCATTTCAACTCCTTAACAGTTAAGGAGCAGTTACATTTACACAGTCCTAAGATTATTGAGGCCCTCCGAAGGCAACCACAAGGCTGATGTGGCCCCCAGTGAAAATGAGTTTGACACCCCGGTGTAAGGAGCAGTTTTTATATTTTTAGGGGCTAAGTATTCTGAGTATCCCAGAGTGTGCTGTTTTCCTGTTTGTTCTGTTGCATTTCCTTTGAACAAGCCATTTGGTTGAAAACATAGGGAATATAAATTAAGATAAAACCTCCCTTTAGTTTTTAAATTATAAGTCATCCATGTTGCCCTGGCTGGTGTGGCTCAGTGGACTGAGTGCCAGCCTGTGAACCAAGGGTCACTGGTTCAATTCCCAGTCAGGATACGTGTCTGGGGTGGGCAGGAGACAACCACACATTGACGTTTCTCTCCCTCTCTCCCTCCTTTCCCCCCCGTCTAAAAATAAATACATAAAACCTTTTTTTAAAAAAAGTCATCCATGGTGATCATGTCACTTTTAAAATTCTTCATTTTTATCTTTCAAGCTCAAGCTATTTAGAGAACAATATGGGGAAGTAATGATTGATAATTAATTATAAAATGAGCATCCTAGAAATTTGAAAATATCCCGTTTTAACAAGGAATGATGTACCAGTTTTTAATCTTTCTTTTTCTTTTCTTTAAGTTTCTTCAGTATTGAATGAAAACCTCACTGTAAATGGAGGAGGCTGGAATGAAAAGTCCGTAAGACCCTCCTCACAGATCAGTGCAGGTGAGGACCAGTGGAACTCTATTTCACCCGCTTCTGCAGGCAAGAGAAGAACTGAGCCATCTGCCTGGGGTCAAGACACTGGAGATGCTAATGCGAATGGAAAAGACTGGGGAAGGAGTTGGAGTGACCGTTCAATATTTTCTGGCATTGGTAAGAAATGTTAGAAAATTTTTAATTCATTTAAAATTGATTATCTGGTACATTGTGCATTTTTCAGGAATGAGAAAAGATCTATCAGTAAAAAATTAGTAATGCCATACAGAAATGATAATAATTAACTCATTTCAGGTTCCTCATATGGAACAAAGTAAATAATAGCATTTATTATTTGCTCTTATCTTTGGTGCTTTCACATACTTTATCATATTTGATTACCTATGTAACTAGCAGGTATAATTGCATTTTTAATAATGTAATAACTGTAATATGTGAGCAGTCTTTGTGATTAATTTCAGTAGTTTATTCAGTTTAAATGAATATAGTAAATGGGAGTACAGTTTATAAGTATCCGTTTATATACTGTTTTACTGTTTGTAAAACACCTATTTGTAATTAATTTTTCCCCTGGGTCTTAAAGATAAAAAGATGAGTAGTTAAGGAGTTTTTTTCTGTTGAAAGGTATCAAGTCAAAGCACCTTAATTTCAGGTGTGTGTATGTATTTTATAGAAAAGAAATTCATGTTTAATGTGGAAAAAGGCAGAAAAAGAAGGAAAAATGCAGTTACTGTACCGCCTGGTGCCAACGACTGGTTTTTGTTGGTTTGGGTTTTTTTTCCTTTTTAAATTTCTTTACGGTCTTTTTTTCCCTCTGTGTACAGTTTTGGTGTTTTTGTTTTTGTTTTTGTTTTTGTTTACATAATCCAAATCAGATATGTATGTTTATTTTCCCACTTCCCACTTAATATTGTAACATAAACACTCTCCTTATTTATTTATTTGAGAGAGAGAGAGAAACACTGACTTCTTGCTCCACTGATTTATGCGTTCATTGGTTGATTGTTGTATGTGCCCTGACTGGGACCAAACCTCTTCAGCCTTGGCATATGGGGACAGTGCTCTAACCAACTGAGCTACCCAGTCAGGGCCTCATTGTCCTTACTTTTTGTAAGTGTTATTATTTAATGTCCCTGTAATATGTTGTATAAGCATAGTATAAATTACTATTTCTATGTTATCAGAGAAGTGATTTGTCTTTTTTTTTTTAGCCATTATAAATAATGTCACATTGAGTATATTTGGGGGGTGCGTATTTCTTCAGGATAGATTCCTGTGAGTGATATTGGGTTAAAGGGAATATGAATGTTCACAGTGCTACATGACTTAGAAAATACAGTTGTCAATGTATTTTCTAAGAGTTTTAATTTATTTATCAGCATCAGTATGAGTGCCATTTGTCACACAATGACCCAAGGTTGAGTACTGTCACTTTTTTAAATCTTTTTATCTATTCATTTGTTTCCTTACTTATTTATTTATTTTTAGAATGGAGAGAAGGAGAAGGAAAGAACATCAATGTGTGGTTGCCTTTCCTGCACCCCCTTCTGGGGACCTGGCCCACAACTCAGGCATGTGCCCTGACTGGGAATTGAACCCTCAGCCCTTTGGTTTTGCAGGCCATCACTCAATCCACTGAGCCACACTAGCCAGGGAAAAATATTTTCTTAATTGATAAGCAAAAACTGCATAAATGGTTTTGGTTGAGTTTTAAAATTACTAATGAGATTGAGTATCTTTTACAACTTTCTTGATCATGTCTATCTATATCTTTTATGAATTATCTATTTGTGTTCTTTGCTCATTTATTTAATGGCTTCTTAGTGTTTTTTTATTAAGTTGTAATTCCTGTGCATCAAAGATATAGTTTTTTCTGTCATGCTTGCTGCAGATAATTTTTGTTCATATATTTATTTTAGTTTAAGTAGAAAACACTGTTTCTTCCTATGTTATTTGCTTTTCCCATCACTTTTAAGCTTAGAATGACTCATGCTAACTAATATCCCAAGAAGCAAACTTTAGATCATTTACTAACATTCTTCTTAAGCTTGTTCCTCCCTCCTTCCCTTGCAATGTCCAGAAATTATGTAAAAATACCAAAATTTGGAAGAAGAGACAATCCCTAAATTCCTAGCCTCATTTCAGCAGTGAAAAAAGCATAAGCTTCTTTGCTGAAAAGCATCCTTTCACATTTAATAAAACAAATACTCAAATTTTTTTCCAGTATAATCATTTTAAGAACTGCAACTTTTTGAGATATTTGCAACTTAACTTACGAAAGCTATTTAGCATTTTTATAATTAGGACATAAAGTAGATGGTACTTGCTTAATGTAGCTACAGATAAAATTAAGCAATAGATTAGAGTTCCTGCCTAGATAGATTAGGGCTTTTGTTGAAATTCAAAGAGAACTTTGAATAATTTCCCTTTCAAATTCAAAGGGAACTATCCAATTCAAATAAAATTGGATTTCCTGTGAGTCACTGAGAAGAGTCAGGTGTGACTGGCATCATAGATACATATGTTCCTTAAAATACTCAAATATGAGTAAGAAATGTCTTTAAAATATTGCAAAGATAGCATGGTGTACTGGAATGAACATGGTCTAGTTCAGATAGATCAATTTGCTATGAATCCCTATTCTTCCACATATTAGCTTTTATGGAAATTAGGCTAGTTATTTAACCTCCTCTGTGACCCTCATATTCAAGTACTTACAAGGATTGGCTAAAAGAATGCCAAGTACCAAGTTCAGTGTCTGGCCCAAAGTTGTAGCTTAATTATGGTAGATAATAAGGTAGCTTGTGATGGTAGAAAGAGCATAATAGGCTTTGGAAAACAGCCTAAGTTCCAGTCTTGGCTCAGCTGTTTTCTAGCTGTCAGCAAGTTACTTAACTACTCTGAAACTTTGCCTAGCAGAGTTACCCTAAGGATTAAAAGTGGTTGGTGTAAAGAGCCCAGTACATAGTAGACTTCAATAAATAGTAACTATTGCTATATTAAGTGGTTCTAATTTCTAAGGTTATATATATAATACTGTTATCATAGTTTTAAATCTGTACATATCTTTCAAGTTTCATTGTAAATTAAAGGTTCCAAGTGATGTTCTTTATTTTAACAGCTGCTTGGTCTAGTGTGGATAGGGGAATGAATACCTCTGAACAGAATTCTGCTTCTTTTGCATCTCTCACACTTAACTCTGCTGTTCCTGGTATGTGAAAACAGTCTTTCATTTAGTTAACAAAAAATTTCTGTTTAAATTAATTTTAGCTCTTGCTATTTAAAAAAATAATCAGCCTCAAGTACTGCTATCACATAAATAATAGATATATAATATAAAATGTCAGAGGCCTTAATAAAAGGAGAAGAAAGACCTAAATTCTTAATCTGCAAGTGACTTAGTTCCTTTCTGTAGCAGAGATAAGAAGATTCCGTGGCCTAACATAATGAAGTGCTTTGGCACACAGACAAGCGCAAACGGAAGGCCTTCTTTTCAGGGTCCAGATACTCCGCTGTTACTACTGTGCTCCTACCATACTCCAACTTGCAATTTGGCATTTTGTTTCTGTTTCCCCTTATTCATTGTAAGTTTATCACGAAGCCTTTCAGGTTATATTGACCCTCACATAATATCTCTACTATGAGTATGTGTTGATTAAACTTCTATAAATTTGGCATGGATATGCCTTTAATAATTATACAGAAGCTATATGTACTTAAAAATATTACTTAAACACAGGAGATGTTTAGTTTGTAATGCTTGGTTGATGATGGAATTCATGGCCCTAATGTACTAATCATGTAGTTCCACAGTGTGTTTAGTCTCTATTCTAGAACAGGGGTCAGCAAACTTTTTCTGTAAAGGGCCCAGTAATAGATATTTGAAGCTTTGTGAGCCATACTACCTCTGTTCCAGCTACTTAATTCTGCCATTGTAACATGAAGACAGCCAGAAATGATACCTCAACAAAGGAGTGTATCTGGTTCTGAAATATTCTTACGACTTTTTTTCAACCATTTTAAAATGTGCTACTATTCTTAGCTCATACAGTATACAAAGAAGGAATGGCCGGATTTAGTCTGAGTCATAATTTGCCAATCCTTGGTCTCATAGGCTACATTTCACTTCCAAAGCTTGAAGTTAATTGCTTTCTTCATTTGGTGACTTTGTACAACCTGGATGCTGCTAGAGAAATAGCAACAGTGTTACTGTAGTGCCTCGAAGCAGTTAATGTGCTAATTAAATATGAATTTTATAGTGTTACTCTGTTAAAATTTGCCTAAAAATATGTATATAACTATTCAGTGGAATGCTAGCAAAATCAGCTATAACAGTGTGACAGTTCGTTAGGTAAGAACTCTGCTCAGAGGAAGTGGTTGTGCCTTTTATACTAACAGATATTTTTTAACCATTTTTATATCAATGTATCTGAATCCAAAGTGAATATCAAAGTCACCTAAAGATTCTCATACATACGGAAATTCTTATTCAGAAGGACTGAGGTATATACAGGGTCTGGCAGATATAACACCTGCTTGAGTGTGGTTGGTAGAGTATTAATATGGTTGTAATAATTTATAGTTTTAATTTGAGCAGATCACCTAAAATGCCATGTGGTATGCTTGAGTGTCATAATGCTATGTTACAGAATTACATGCTTATGATTTTATAATAAAATGGGGGTGTTGTTTGTGCTGGACCCTGTATATCCTTGATGAAGAACATTTGCATTCCAAAATAAATTTGTGGCTATAGTACAAGGATTTTTGACCTGGCACCCATGAATTTGTATGTCCCCAAAACTATATGCAAATTTGTGTGTAAGTTCTAGACAGTTGTCTGCCACAGCTTCTATCAGATTCCTAAAGGACTGTGTACTCCCTACCTATATACCCCATTACCCCAGCCAAAAAAAGTAAAAACAGAAAAAACTTAGAAGATAATACAGTTGACCCTTGAAAAATGCAGGAGTTAGGGACACTGACCCTCACACAGTTAAAAATGTGTGTGTAACTTTTGACTCCCCCAAAACTTGCCTACTAATTAGCCTACTTTTGACTGGAATCCTACTGATAATGTAAACAGTCCGTTAACACATTGTATGTTATATGTGTGATATAGTATATTCTTCAATAAAATAAGTTAAGAATATCATAAGGTCGAGAAAATATTTACAAAATATTTATTGGGAAAAAAATCACGAATAATTGGACCCACACCATTCAGACCCCTGTCTTTGGAGAATAACTGTATTCTCCTGTTTTGGTAAATGCACCTGAGTTTAACTTGGTCTCTAAACTTCCAGCATAACTCGCTTCTCTCTGGCTTCTCAATGCCCTCAACTCTCTGGAATAATCATCTATATCTTTCTTTAACTTTTTCTTAGGCAGAAATTTGTAGCAAACTCATTTTCTAGTTCTATCCCTCCAAGGGCACAGGCTACCTTGAAACATCCAGGATTTCTTTTGTGCTTTGTTATTTTCAATTAAGAAAAATAAAACAACTTTTTAACCTTTTAAAGCTATAGACAGCTAGTTTGAAGAATATGTTATAAAAGACAATCTAATAGATTTGTGCTATAAATGTATTTCTGATTAGTGAATTAGGTGATTCCCTTAATTCTATTTTTCCCTTATCTGAACTCTTACAATGTCTGAATTTTTCCTTTTAGGAGAAGTATAGAACTATTGTTATGAAACATCATTAGAAAATTCCATTTTTAATTTTATTGCATTCGTTTTCATTTAAGGGTCTGCTGCTGAGCCAGTTTCTCAGTCCGCCACTTCCGATTATCAGTGGGATGTTAGCCGTAATCAGCCCTGTATCGATGATGAATGGTCTGGGTTAAGTATGTCCTTTTAAATTATCAGCTTTTGTTTTTTTGTTTGCTTTTGGTTCCTTTTCAGAATTTTTTTTTCTAGCATCCTGAGTTCATGCTTTATATTTTAATTTTAACCCTACTTTCTCACCTTTTGGTCATAGTAATATAATTTAATACCAAGTGTACTACTTATAAACTGATTATGAATACCTGTAGAATTAAACTAACTTTACTCTTCATGATTGAGGTATTTAAAACATGAAATTTTCTTATAGTTTTTCTAGTTTTTAAAATTTTATTTTAAATAAATGTGTTTCTCTTTTTAGTTTTACTATAAGGGGTAAAGAGAATATACAGGAATGGCTTTGAATTTGTGGGGTGTGCAAGTTTTTCTATTGGTAGAAAACCATTTGTTCAGCCTGATTTCCAATGGAAGCATATGAAGATTAAAGCAATAGTTTTGTTGTTTTTTTTTAAAGAAGGGAAAAATACTCTGGTTTTTCACGCTCATAAAGCTTATACTATCTTTTTTTTTTAAACTGGATTTTTTTCCCCCTCTAATCTAAACCTGAGAATTATTATGGCACATTATTTTGTTATTTATTTAGCATTTACCTTTTGGGATTTTCCACCATTTTGGTTTTTATAAAAAGTCTTTTACATAATATGCTTTGTTTCTTCAAGTAGAGTTGAAACTCTCAGAAGATAGGAATGCTCACTCTGTTACCTCCTCAGTACCTGCGCGGCACTTTCACACAGCTGCTCAGTGGTGATAGTGATGAAAGCCAACACGTGGCTGTGTGCCAGGCACTGGTCTGCATCTTACAAATAAATATTGTTAATTTAATGCTCACCAATTCAGTGAGTTAGGTATTATTTTTTCCATATTTACCATATTAATAAACTGAGGCAAAGCAAAGTTATCTAACCTTCCCCAGGCCACACAGCTAGTTAAGTGGAGGAGCTGATACCAGGCTTTGGTAGTCTCGCTCCCGAGTCCGTGCTCTTAACCACCACTACACAGTACAGCCTGGGTGCTGACGGTAACCTGAGGGTAACCTCGAAGCACAGCACACGGGTTCGTCTGTGCACTGATAAGTCTCTGTGTGGATCGGTGCAAGCACAGTTCTTACAGGTTAAGGGAGATGGAATTGGAAAGGTAGATTAGGTAGGACCATATTGTAAAAAGCCTTGATTGACTGGCTAAAGCTAAGTTACTAGTTTAGAACGTGTATCTAGTTCTAGTCCTGACTTTAAAATGTAGTACCTCATATGGCTTGAACTTTGTCACTTATCTTGGAATCTAGATTAATTGAGCTGAAAAATGGAGCAAGTCATCTGTCTTATTGTACTTCCATAGATTATTGAAAGGTTTTAATGAGTCATTGAATAAAAATTATAAAATATCATACAAATCCAAGGTATTACAAAGATGTGAAAGCACTGTCTTTGGAAAACCTAGTCTATCTGTACTTCGGGAAGAATGGTTAGGGATGTGCCACATAGAATTGAGGAGTTATTATAAGAAAATAGCAGTGAGGTGTCTTGGGCAGCTGTGGATTGAGGCCAAGGAAAACTGGGCAAACAGATCTCTAGGCTTCCTAACTTGGGGAGAACAACTCCACTTTCATCTAAGAATTCTTGTAATATGAAAAACATGACTGGCTGCTAAAATAAAAGGCTGAAAAAAAAACTGTATCCTCATGACTCTGTACTGAAAGTAGTATCAGGAACACCATCTTTCTCAAGTTTGTTATGCTATATTGGCAGTCTTTTGAGTCCAAAATTTCTCTTTAACCTCATTTCCTCTGTGAATTTCATTTTTTGTGTGTCTTACCATCTTTAATGTGATTAATTTGGGTACTCAGCAAATTTACTTATTCCTTCTAAATTTGTAGAGGGCATGATTTAGTATTTGACATTACTAATCCCAAAACACACACACACACTATGTTTACATTTAACAGTGTAATATGATTAATATATTGACCTCCTGGTTTGAGGCATAGACATTAGTATCTGACAGAAAGGCATTGCTTCTCCCAGGCCCTTGAACATAAAGTTAACATGCTAAAGTGGAGCATATTGGTTTTTTAAGGACAGATATTAATCTATCAATTATTTTGACCATAAAAGAACATCATCATCATATAACCCCTTATAAAAAGTCAAATTTTAAATAGACTATGTTTTTGTTGGCACTGCACAGTGAAGGAGTTAAGAGCATGAGGTGTCAGGACCACCTGGGTTTAAATCTTACTTCTTTGCCTTTGCTCTTAGGCAAGTACATGATGGTTCTGTGCCTCAGTTTCATTATCTGTAAAATTAGTAGTTCTTTTCTCCACAGCCCTCAAGCCCTCACAGAGTTGTTGAGAGGATTAAATAATATAATACTTATAAAGCGCTAAGGACACTGCCCAGTGTTGTAACTTTCTAGTAAATGTTCAGTACGTGCCACACTGGAGAAAGTCTTTCTAACATAATTGTTTTGTTTTATTTAAGTTAATACTAAATTAATCTGACAAGAAAGAGCTGATAACCATTTTCTTACTGAGATAAAATAGAGGATGTGAAGGCAATCTGGCTGCGACATCTGTCACCCCATTGATCGCCAGGGTTGATTCGGCCGATCTGGCTTGGCTAGGCGGGTCTCCCTCGCTGATCTACGCGCGTCCCTCCCAAAGCTGCGCGCTCGATCGAAAAGGATGCCCTTCCCAACTAGAGGAGAGGACCGGTCTTCTTACTGAGATAAAATAGAGATTAGCTATGAGGTGCACAAATCTAAAACATTATTCCTTGAGCAAATTAAATGGAGAGACAAATTGCTTACCATTTTGAACACAGCTAATAGGGTTCTTTGAAAAGACATTGGCAAACTAATGGAGGAATTTTGAGAAATAAGTTATTTGTAAATGGAGAAACCTATGCTATGAATGAAACTATACTATACGGTTTTAAGGAAACTACGTCTAAGAAGTTTATTAGCACATTAGGCCTATGAATGTTAAAAATTGTGTGTTGAGAAGTCTCCTGGTGACAGTTTTTAGGTTTAAAAATCTGTTGTTTTAAAATAGTTTCATTTGATCCCAGTTAATATAAAAAAATTAATAAACATGAAAAATTAGCCCTGGCTGGTGTGGCTCAGTGGATTGAGCGCGGGCCTGCGAACCAGACAGTCGCGGTTCGATTCCCAGTCAGGGCATATGCCAGGGTTGCAGGCAGGTTCCCTGCAGGCCAGTTCTCAGCAGGGGACGCACGAAAGGCAGCCATACATTGATGTTTCTCTCCCTGTCTCCTTCCCTTCCCCTCTATAGATAAATAAATAAAATCTTAAAAAAAAAAAGAAAAATTACCAATAAAATTTTATATAACCAATTGAGATTATGCTTCTATTAAAGTTCTTATAGAAGTGAAACCATAGCACAGTTAATCCCCAAACTTCATGGCCATCTAAGCCTTTAAAAAAATAATTTCACAAAGTACTTCAGTAGGTTTTTATTCCCTCCCTCATATTTATTAACAGAATAGTTTGTATGTTAGTATATTGCTCATCCACTTGCCTAAACGTGTTTTCTTAGTAAAAGAAAATACAATTGTTTTTCTGGCAAGAGGACTTAGAGATCTGGCTTATGGACAGCAATTTTCCAAGTCTAAGTTTCTCATTTGTGAGGCTTAAGCAAAACCAACGATGGCTTTGGCATTCAGATCTAACAGTATTGTTAATGAATGTATAAGATGAACAATTGATTTTAGACATTTACTAGATTTCTTTATACTTGTGAAAATGATTTCTACATTAAGGCACACCAAATGTATCTTATTGAGAGATTTATTAGGATTATAAAAAATAAAATCTTAATTGTGTATGCCTGACAGCTTAGAAACTGGTTTTCTATGATAAAAACAATAGCTACCATTAACTGAACACTTACTGCATTGCTGTGAACTCCTTTACAGGCATTCTCATCTAACCCTCTCAGCAGTCCTGTGACATACATACATAGCCCATTACAGTTAAGAAGTTTAGGCCAAGATGGAGACGTAGGTGGAGGAACTACCTTGCCTCTGTGCACAACCAAATCTAAGAACAACTATTTTTAACAACAGTCACAACCAAGCCACATGGAAAATCGACAATACGGAGTCCAAAGACAACTAAATGCTCAGCTAAACCGGTAAGAGAAGCGAAACCAGCAGCGGAGCAGGTTAGCAAGAAAAAATTCCCGGGTGGTACACGGTGCGCAAGCAGCCAAAGGCACTGATCGTGGGCTAGCTACAGGAGCACACAGGGAAGAGGCGCGGCAGGCTGTCTGCGGTCGGTGGGCTGCGCACCTGCGTGCGGAGAAACCAGTGAGAAGGGAAGCCTGCGCGGGGCAGCAGGCTCGAACAATTCCTATCGGATAAACAAGCCCGGGGCGAGTGGTGTGACTGGACGGGCTGGGCTAGCGGAGAGGACCGCCATTGCTCCCTCTCTGACCACGCCCCCACACACAGCGTCACAAACCAGCGACCTGGGTCGCCCCATCCTGGTAAACAACTAAGGCTTCGCTCCGCTTACTTAACAGCACGAATAGACCAAAAATGGCTCTAGGACAACTCAGAGCCCCAGAACCGATAGATCTAAGTGATGAAGAAATAGCCAGTCTTTCAGATGCCCAGTTCAAAACACTGGTTATCAGGATCCTTACAGAACTGGTTGATTTTAGTCACAAATTAGAGAAACATATGGAAGCCAAACTAATTGAAATGAATGGTAATACAAAGGAAACCAATAGTAATGGAAAGAAAATTGGGACTCAAATCAAGGGAGTGGACCACAAGGAAGAAAAAAATGATCAAACAGAAAAGAATGAAGAAATAAGAATTCAGAAAAATGAGGAGAAGCTTAGGAACCTCCAGGACATCTTTAAGTGTTCCAACATCCGAATTATAGGGGTACCAGAAGGGGGAAAGGCACAGCCACCAGCGGAAAACTTATTTGAACAAATAATAAAGGAAAATTTCCCCAATCTGGCAAAGGAAATAGACTTCCAGGAAATCCAGGAAGCTCAGAGAGTCCCAAAGAAGTTGGACCCAAGAAGGAACACACCAAGGCACATCATCATTACATTAGCCAAGATTAAAATGAAGGAGAGAATCCTAGAAGCAGCAAGAGCTAAGGGGACAGTCACCTACAAAGGAGTTCCCATCAGACTGTCAGCTGATTTCTCAAAAGAGACCTTACAGGCAAGAAGGGGCTGGAAAGAGGTATTCCAAGTCATGAAACCAAAGACCTACAACCAAGATTGCTCTACCCAGCAAAGTTTTCATTTAGAATGGAAGGGCAGATAAAGTGCTTCTCAGATGAGGTCAAGTTCAAAGAGTTTATCATCACCAAGCCCTTATTATATGAAATGTTAAAGGGACTTATCTGAGAAAAAGAAGATCAAAAAGATGAACAGTGAAAGGACAGCAAACTCACAGTTATTAACAACCACACCTAAAACAAAAGCAAGCTAAGAGGACAGCTAGATCAGGAGCAGAACCATAGAAATGAAGATTTCATGGAGGGTTAGCAACAGGGGAGTGGGAGGAGGAGAAGGGGGGAGAAGGTACAGAAAATAAGTAGCATAGACAGTAGATAGAAAATAGATAGGGGGAGGGTAAGAATAGTAGGGGAAATATAGAATCTAAAGAATTTGAGACACGTGTTCATGAACTAAAGGGGGAAATGGTGGGGGAGGGGTGTGCAGGGTGGAGGGGAATGGAGGGGGGAATAGAGCAAATGTAATGGCATAATCAATAAAAATAAAAAATAAGTTTAACAAGAATCACATAGTTATTTAAGTGCTGGAGCAATATTTAAGCGCAGAACTATTTGACTGGAAGGTCCGTGTTCTTCACCTGTCCATTAATGCTTTGCAATCCTGGCTCAGGATACCTGCTTATATTAGTAAATTCAGAAATACAGGAAGGAACTTCTGTTTTGTAAACACATTTCCCACTTGTAACCATTTGTTCCATGTTTCTCCATCCCATCTCTACTGGTTTAGCCCACTTCTCCCTTTCCACAACCCCTATGACAGAATCTGTCACTCTGTCTGTTGTGACTTACCTGTCTCCATTCCTGAACGGACAGACTCTGAGCTCCATGAAGGTGGGGAGAGTTATGTCATACTGACCTTTGTATCTTTGGTACCTACCTAGCTCAAGTTCTTATACATAGTAAGTGCTTAATAAGATGAAATTTCTGTAATTCCACTGTAAAGATACATGTTATTAATATATTATTTTCTTGTATCTCTTCCTCTTACAAATTTGGGATCATACTATACAGACGGTTATGCCTGTGGTTTTCTTTTCTATGAAATTTTTTCCAGATCTTTATATATTATTTCAAAACAATTTTTAAAGCCTTCTTGGGGTTGTCATAATACCTCCCTTTTAAACAAAAACAATAGAGTTCACACGGAAAATAAGAACAGCATAGAAAACGAGTAATGCTGGCAGATTTGTTTTTCTAGGTAATAAAATGTATTACAGAGTCATATTATGTATGGCACTATCCCAGGAATAGATCAGTGGAATAGAATAGAAATTGCAGGAGCACACTGAAACATATATAAAAGAATTTAGTATTTGATTAAAGTAGCATTTGGCATTAGTGGGAAAAGATTAAATTTTTCAGTAAGGCAGTATTAGTGTCTAGACTTGTGAACTATTTAAAATGAAGCCTAACATTTGTCATCTTAACCCAGTGTAAATGCAACCTATGAGTCATCATTGCAGGCGAGTACAGGGAGTGTGTGGGATGTCCTGGAAGAGGGGAAGAAACACCTTTGAGAGCTGCTTATTTAATCAGTGTAAAGCCAGAGAAGGTTTTTCCCCTGTAGAATAAGCCAGTGATAGCCCCCGAAAGAAGGTAAAATTCAGTGCCTACTAGAGTGAAAGAAGGGAATTTAGAAGTCTAGAATAAAAACTTATTCTCGAGATGAGAGTGATAGGAGCCCTGAAAGTGACTCTGCTATTTTGGAATGAGGGTACAAGTATCGAAAGAGGCCGGGGAAAGAAGAGGTTAAGTATTCTGTCATGACAGTGAATTTGAAGAAGAACCTAATCTGGAAAAGCTCATAAGGAAGGGAGGAATACAGAGAAAAATTGACAGGTAGCGAGCATAATTTTGGTACTGCTATTAAAGATTAGTTCATTCTGTACCCTAGAAAAACCATCAGTTACAAAAATGTAGTAATCAGAGCAGAGAAACGACCAGGTTTTAGATAAAGTTAGACCAAAACAGAAGAGAGCGAATTCAGGTGAATGATAGCAAAGGAAGTAGAGAGAATGAAGTTAGATAGTTAATTCATTAGTTTTCTGGAGTTTCTTAGAAATTCCATGTAGTTAACCATATGATGTGTCCAGAAGTTGGGCAAAGGTTTTATTCTTGGTTTGGGGGAGTTTGGGGTTTTGGGGGGTTTTTTACTACCATGTTACTGGTTTTTTTCCTAGCTTATAAAATGTGCTTGGGAGAAAGAACCATAGTTAAAATTACAGCTCAGTTCACCGTAAGGAAGTTTAGTTTTTGCATTGTAGTTTTGGATAGAAATGATAGATACCTAATTCACACTGTTAAATTTTAGATGGTCTGTCTTCTGCTGACCCCGGCTCTGATTGGAATGCACCGGCAGAAGAGTGGGGGAACTGGGTAGACGAAGAAAGGGCTTCACTTCTAAAGTCCCAGGAGCCGATTCCTGATGGTCAAAAAGTGAGTAAGGGATTGGCGGGTATTTCCTGATGGTCAAAAAGTGAGTAAGGGATTGGCACGTATGTTTATTTCTTTACACCCAACTATATTGAAAATAATAGTGAATATAAATCTGTATTCTAAGTACATCCAGTGGTAGAATTGCTTGAGAGGCATTCTGATCGTATTTACTCAATCATCATTTGCCTGCATGCCTTCTCTAGATTACCTTTCCCCCCCTTGCCCCCGACAAATTATTGAGGACTCTATGTGGAAATTACTATTAGACATGGATAAGAAAACAAACAACAGTTCCCATCCTCTTATCAGAATTAGTATAATAGTCTACCAGCTCTTAATGTGTTTTAGAAAAGAGTACTTGGTTTCCAATGAAGGTTAAGGAAGGCTTCATAGCAATAGACAAGACTCAGAACATCATGAAAATGGCACCCAGGCAGGGAGATAGGTAACGTGTTTGGGGGCAAATAGTGCACATGTATGGTGATAGGATCGACTATTTACATGTCTATCTCCCCCTTCTAGGCTGCATTCCTTAAAGAAAGGGGCTGTGAAGTTTTTGGTTTTGTAGCTCTAGCAACATGCATTTAATAAATGAATAAAAAATGAAAGGAAATATATATACCTTACAACATTTTTATGCAATTCTGTAAGTAATCAGAACCTACTGACAGCTTTTAAAGTAGAAGTAATTATCACTAGAATAAGGAAAAATTAGGCTGGATGTTGTGAAGAGACCAGAAGACCAGTTTGAGAGGCTATTTGTACTTTTTAGGGTAAGCAGTAAAGAAACCATTACATGAATTGGGGTAGGAGATAAGGAACTAAGTCAGTACCTTTGAAAAATAAATGGAAGTAGTATTTACAAGAGATACAAAGGTACTGATCAAACTTTACTACTAGTTGGTTATAGGAATAAGGGTGAAAACTCAAAGAGGCTGTGGAGATAAAAAGGACCATCAATACTGAACAAACATTAATTGAGCATCTGGCATGGATCAGGTATTGCACTAGTGGAGAAACAAAGATAAATAAGACGCCATTACTACCTTCAAGGAGCCTACAGTCTAGTTAGGAAGGAGGGGGAGGAGGCAGGCACGTGAATTGATAAAAGTAACGTATGGTATTTGTTGGGTATTACGGAAGCATTTGGGAGTTTTAGTGAAGGCAGCCTAGAGATAAAAGTAGAATGTGATGAAAAGCATGGGCAGAAATGAGACTGGAGAGGGAGGCAGGGACTGGATTCTAGAAGTTCTTGAATGGCATGTTTTAAATCTTGGATTTTATCTTATAAATAATTGAAGAATTTTAAGCTAAGATGGTTTGTTTGGCTCCTATGACAATGCACATAGAAAAAAATGAGTGGAGGCAAATGTGAATAAAGGCAGGTAGAGGTGGTTTAGCAGTCTCAGACAGTAGTGGTAAGAATGGTGTATGAAGTAGAGGACACATTTGAAAATAATGTAAAGTACAATCAGCAGGGCATGTGATTAGAATTGAATGGAAAGTCATCAACTAGCTTCCAGGATTGTAACTTGGACAACTGGGAAGTTGGAAGCGATACTTCCAACAGAGAATATAGTGAAGCTAATTAACTGAGGGAAGATGGTTGGTTCAGCTTCAGGTATTAAATATGGGGTGCTTTGTAGTTACATCTGAGAGAAGTTGGTCATACCAGGTTAACACTTAGGGAAAATACCTGTATTTGGAAGTTATTAGTATATCGTGAATAAAACTTTGAGAGTGGGTTAATCTGGGGAAAATCAATAGAAGTTGAAAAGACAAGTGGAATTACCATAGAAATCTGGGATTTCCCTATTTTTAAGGAGAAATAAAAGCCCATGAAAGAGTCTGAGGGAAGAGAGTTGTGGATCACAGCGGCTTAACACATTTGCTCTCTGAGCATTTAAAGCAGTTTATTGGAACAGTTGCCATATTGCAGTAAGTTGAGTAAATGAAGGTTAAAAATAGTATTAACAAGTATAAGATTTTTTTCAGTAAGTTTGGATAGCAGTGGAGGAGAGGTAGTGGATAACAGCAAACTGGTATCAGGAAGGGTTTTGTTCGAAGGTCTTTTGTATTTTAATGACAGGAGAGATTTTAAAGCAGGGGTCAGCAAACTTTAATGAAGGGCCATGCAGTAGTATAGAAGTAGCCATAGGCAACACAGAAGTGAACTTTGTTTGTAAAACCTAGCATTAGGCCAGATTGGTAGTTTGCCTACTCCTGTTTCAACATATCTGTAGACAAAAAGGAAAATGATCTCAAATAAAGTAAAAGTTAAATATAAATGAAAGATTTGACTAGTAGAATAAGATCACAGCAGTCGGGTGGGGGACTACTTAAGATACCACTGGATTGTGGGTTAGCCTTTAATTGGAAGTAATACCTCTCATCTTCACAGACCAAAGAAAGAGAGGTCCTAATGGGATTCCTACTAAGGGTGTAAATAAATGTAGAAGAGGACAGTTACCAGGTAAAGTGGGGAAAGTCTGAGGGGGAAAATAATAATGAGTTTTAGGTTGGCCCCAGAAAAGCTTCCTAGAGTCTGCAGGAGCCGAGGGGAAGAGGGGTGAATGGGCAGAACACAGAGGGTAGTGAGATTACTCTCTATGTTGCTGTAATGATGGATGCATTTGTCCAAACCCATAGGATGCCCACACAGAGAGTGGACCCTATGGTAAACTACAGATTTTGAGTGAGAGTGGTAAGGGTGTCCAGTGTAGATTCATCAGTACCAGATGTGCCACTCTGAAGGGCATGTTGATGACGGTGGGGCAGGGTGGGGGTGTGTGTATCTGTGGGGGCAGGGGTAAATGGAAATCTCTACCTTCTGCTCAATTTTGCTATGAACTTAAAACTGCTCTTTAAAAAAAAGGTCTATTTTTTAAAGCTTTTATTGCAGTACCTTGGCACACAGAAATCATTCTGATACTTATTGAATGTTTAGTGAACGTACAACTAAAAATCTATTTCTCTAACTGGAATTTCCTAGTGCCTGGTCATCAGAATTTTAACAGAGGAACTACTGAATACAGTAAACTATCACATATCATAGCAGTTCTTTTTGCTGATTATAGTCAGAGATGTCTTTTACATTTCTAAGCAAAAATGCAACACCATCTAAATGGCCATTTAGTTGGGGAATGGATAAATGTGATCTGTTTGGCCCTGACTGATGTGGCTCAGTTGGTTGGGCATCATAATGCAAAGCAAAAAGGTCACCAGTTTGAGTCCCGGTCAGAGCACATGCCTAGGTTGCAGGTGCAGCCCTGGTCAGGGTGTGTACGAGTAGGCAACCGATAGAGGTTTCTCTCACACATCCATGTTTCTCTCTCTCTCTCTCTCTCCCTTCCCCTCTCTCTCTTTTTTTAAAAGTGATCTGTTTGTACAATGGCGTACTAGGTAGATTTTTTAAGTGAATTAAATAAAGCTATGTTAATATATCAGTATGACTAGAATCTCAATGAATGATGAAGAGCAAGTTACAGAGAGGTATAATACCATTTATGCAGATTTGGGGGGGAGCAGATAAAGTTATAGAAAAATTGAGTAGATAGATACAGAAGCAGTTCATGATAATGGTTACCCCCAGGGAGCTGGAGTGGGAATGGGATTGAGAAGGCATATGAAGGAATTTTTATGATTTTCAGAATATCTGAGTTAAAAGGTGGTATGGAATTGATTTCTGCCTTTTTCCCATGAACAAAAATAGTGTTTTGCCATAGAAGAACTACATTTCTTTTATGGTTGGATTATAGTTAGCAAAGTTGTGTGGCATTTTGTTTTGTTTTTCTGTCTGCTAATAGTTTTTGTAAACTATTTGGTGGTTTGTGAGACCTCCTAAATCATCCTAATGACTGTGGTTCTGAACAGAGAACTTGTAATTACCCACATCATCTCTTTCCATAAGGATAGTCTAGGAATCTTGGCTAGTCTTTGTTTATTCTGTGCAAAATAAACAAAAAGCACTTTTCCAAAAAAAATTCAACTGCATGTTATATGTAAAGAGATATCATCAATATTAATAATATAAATTTAACAGTCCTAATTCACTGGTTTTGTCATGCAGAATATTATTTTCAATGACATTCTCAGATCCAGTTTTTAATTCAGCCTTTTATTTGGAGATGATCAGCAAGTCACATTCACTTGTAAGAAATAATACAAAGAGATCCGTGTACCCTTTACCCAGTATCCCTCAGTGGTGACATCTTAAAAACTATGCTACAGTATCACACCAGGATATTGATTGGCATTGATGCAGTCAAGGTGCACAATGTTTCCATCACCACACAGGTCCCTCATGTTGCCATTTTTTATGGTCATCTTCTTTTCCTTCCCATCCCCACCTCCTTTTTTGTCCCCTAACAATCCAGTAAGTAACTTGTTCTCTGTCTCTATAACTTTGTCATTTCAAGAATGTTCTGGGAATAGAATTATATAGTATGTGACTTTTTGGTACTGTTTTTTCACTGAGCATAATTAGAGTCATCCAGATCATTATAGGTATCATTGGTCGGTTCTTTTTCACTTTTGAGTAGTAGTCCATGGTCTGGATATACCCCAGTTTACAGGCATACCTCATTTTATTGCACTTCGCTTTATTGTGCTCCACAGATGTTTCATTTCTTTATAAATTGAAGGCAAGACCCTTCACCAGCAAATAGATTGCAACTCACTTTTTTGCAGTGCTTGCTTAATATTGGTAGTCTGGAACTGAACCTGCAGTATCTCTGAGGTATGCCTATATTTAACCATTCTATTGAAGGACATTTCAGTTGTCCTTCAAGAGGAGAATGACAGTTTAGGACTGTTATGAACAGAGCTGTTGTACACATTTATTTGCAGATTTTTACGAGAACATAAGTTTTCATTTCTTTGAGATAAATATCTAGAGTACAGTCCCTGCATTGTGTGGTAGTTGTATATTTAATATTTTAAGAAACTGTTTTCCAGAGTGCTGGTATCACTTTATATGCCCACTGGGAATGCATGAGTGATCTAATTTCTGGGCATCCTTGCCAGCACTTGCTGTTGTCACTGTTGTTTATTGTAGCTATTATCTTAGGTATGTAGTGATAACTCATGACTTTAGTCTGCATTTCCCTAATGGCTAATAACATTGAACTTCTTTCCATGTGCCTCTTTGCCATCTGTCTCTCGTCTATCATGAAATGTCTGTTCATATCTTTTCCACATTTTCTAATTTTTTACTGTTGAATTTGGAGTGTTCTTTATATAATCTAGATACAAGTCTGATTAGTATATGGTTTGCAAATATTTTCTCCCACTCTGTAGCTTCTCATTCTCTTAACAGAGTCAAATTCAATTTTTTTAAGTTTTATTTTTATTGATTTTAGAGAGATACAGGAGGAAAAAAAGAGAGACATTAGTTTGTTGTTCCACTTATTTGTGCATTCACTGGCTGATTCTTGTATGTGCCCTGACCCAGGATTGAACCCACAACTTTGGTGCATCACAACAGTCCCCAACCTTTTTTGGCACCAGGGACTGGGCTCATGGAACACAATCCTTCCACAGAGGGACAGTGCTCTAAACAACTGAGCTACCTGGCAAGGGCCCAAATTTAATTTTAATGCAGGTGGTTCTGTATTCAAACTCTGAAATAAAACAGAATTACCTGCCCAATGAGTTTTTAAAATCCAAGATTTGCACTCTCTTTAACTGATCTTATAGAAAGTGGTGAAAGAGTAAGAAAAAGCAGTCAATCGCAGACAACAGGGGAATGAAGTTCCAAGTGCTTTATTTTTTTAAGTATGTAATTTCAGATCAGTTTTATTGCTTGTTACTAATTTTTATTTGGTATTTAGGAGATAAATACTAAACCTAATAGATAAAACTATTTCATAATACTTTTCTGAATAGTGAAATCTTAACCTATTGGTTCCCTTTAACACTTTTGCTTTTACCATTAGGTTTCAGATGATGATAAAGAAAAGGGAGAGGGTGCTCTTTCAACTGGGAAATCTAAAAAGAAAAAGAAGAAAAAGAAGAAGCAAGGTGATGATAACTCTCCTGCACAGGTAGATATCAAAACAGGATTCGTTGATTAAACACCTGCTGCTGACATGCACAGAGACGTGCAGACGCTAAGACTGTGTAGAGGTGAAAGACACAGTCTGAGACATCAAATGTATCTGAAAACTCACAGAATGTTTTAAAGATTTTGTATATCATACTATTAAAAAAAGCCTGTGTTGCTCTAAAAAATATCATATCACAGTTGTAAACCCAAAAGTAAATAAATAAAATTCTAAATTAGTCCAGATGCATTTTGATTTATATTGTGCTGAAATGGAAAAAGAGGAACAGTATTCTACATGTGCAGAAATTCCCTTTGAGTAACTGGAATGTTGACCCTCCCACTTAGTATCCTTTCCTGCTTTTTTGGCTTCTAACAGAAACCTTTTATTGCTCCTCCATTTTCCTTTTCTTTTTTCTTTCCTTTCCTTTTCCTTTTCCTTTTCCTTTCTTTTCTTTTCTTTGGTCTTTCCTATTCAGGGAACATTTTTCAGATTATAATATAGGTGAAAACAAACATTTTCGTTTTTACCTTTCTAGATTACTAGAAATATGCATGGGATTTACTTTGAAAGCGCTAGATCACCATTCTGTTACAATTTACTAAAATCTTACTTCTTATAACCCTGTTAGATAATTGTTTTCATTTCTCTAAATGTAGGAAATAGCCACAACTTCTAGAGGATAGCCTACATATAATTTTCGTATTTGTTGTACTTTGGAAAATATTGATGCATGACTTTTTAAAGAAATACGTGTTTAGAGGGGGTTTTTTGTTGTGGGAAGCACAACCCTTTATAAATGATGCCAGTTCATTGTCATGATTTGTTTTCTCCCTGTAGTGGGAGTTGATAGGCATCGAAGCTAATGCGACTGAGATCAACAGATATAAAAACTAGAACTGGGTAGAAGCTGTGCTTTTCCTGCTAGCTGATCTGATGATTAGAACTGTGACCGACAGGTACTGTGTGGTAGCCAGCGCTGCCTGAAATCCTTTTGGCCAGACTTTTTCTGTATTGCTCTGCCTTAATTATGGCCTTTTTGACTTGTGGATTAGATGGGTGCCTTTTAAAAGAACATTTGAGAGATAGACAGACGTATTTAATAAATTTCAATTTACTGGAAAAGGTCATTAAATTGTGAAAGTTCCTGTGGTATTTTGATATTCTTTTTAAAAATATTTGATCTGCCCTGGCTAGCATAGCTCAGTGGATTGAGCGCAGGCTGCGAATCAAAGGGTCACAGGTTCGATTCCCAGTCAGGGCACATGCCTGGGTTATGGGCCAGGTCCCCAGCGGGGGCCACACGACATAGCCCTTCTTCACATTTCAATTTCACTGTTGTTTAAATGACATATCCCTGAGGTTCTGTGTGAAGTAGGTAGCACAGAGTGGCCTGCCCATAAATGATCACTTTTTAAAATTTGTTCTTTTTCCAGTAAAGTTGTCTTTAATTTTTAGTATGTGGTTGGTAGGGGTTTTTTGCCACTAGAGTTCACCTTAGCGTAGAACCAACTGATGTCTTCTCATTAACTTGTGCAGATTGCAGATCTCACATACATACTTCCAAAGCTACTTGCTCAACTTAAATTCACAATAAATTTTGAGTAACTCTCTAAACCCATTATCATTCTGAAAAAGTTTTATAGAATATCATTGTTGGAAGGTAACTGTCAAGATCATCTTAGCCATTTGTTTATAAAAATGGCCATTTGTGTGTATGAGTTTTCTAAAGAACAATACAATTCACATTAATGATTCTATTTGTATGTTCTAGTTCATACTTAATTCACATACCTAAACATGTAATGTGCTTTAGAATTACTTCATTGAAGGTTTTCTTAAAGTCTAAAGGCCTATGAATGGAAATGTTAGAAATTGAATAAGACCTTAGAAATTATCTTGACAAATTTTATTTTATGGTGGAGGGAAGTAAGGTTCAGGGACACAAAATGGCTTGTCCTTGAGGTTTTACAAATAAACTGTGTCATGGCCAAAATGAAAATTCCTCTGTCCAAATTTCTGCTACATAAACTTAATTTGTCTAGAAATGCATTTGTATATAAATTTTTCATTCCTTAATGAAGTGAATTGCTGTTTCTAGAGTCTAAGTTCAAGTATCAACCAATTTACTATGTACTTTTTTAAAAGAAAAATATACTGGTTTAGTTTATTCTGTTTGAGTTGGTTTCATAAATTAGAGTGGTTCCCATTTGGGGATGTGAGTATTGTCTTTTAATTCACAATTAATTAAATCCCTACAGACGTATAATATGTTCCAAATGTGCCTTTCTATTATAAATTGTTAGATAATTGTTTTTATATGCGTTTTTAGGCTGTTTGAACAGTTTCTGAACTAAAAAGACTTTTTTTGTGGGAATACTTTCTGGACATTGTTAGTACAAAAATGAAATATATATTAATTAGTAAAAATGGGTAATTTATATCATGTAATAGATTACTTTTCTCTGTAGGACCCAGAAGAAATAGAAAAAGAGATTAAAGAAGAGCTTCCAGTGAATACCTCTAAAGTTCGTCCAAAACAGGAAAAAGCTTTTTCTTTGAAAACCATAAGCACTAGTGATCCAGCAGAAGCACTCATCAAAAATAGCCAGGTGATTTTTTTATATTTAATGAATAAAATTTTGATGACTTGAGAATTGCATTAATACTTTATTGAAGTATTATGCAAAACATGTAAAGTGCTCAAAATAATGGATTGCTCACAACAACCCTATGAGAAAGATAGGGCCCATTGAAGTGTCCGAAGGCACCATTTTACAAAAGGCCTAGGCCAGTGGTTTCTATTTAGGTGAATTAACATCATATTGAAATATATTAAATTCTACTGGAGTTGCATAGCCCATTTCTGTACTCATTCAAAAAATATTTATTGGGAACTATGTGCCACACACTTTTAGATTTTGGAGATATATCAGAGAACAAAGGAGACCGACCAAAAAAACCTCTGTCATTGTGGAGCTTACATACTTAATGAAACAACTTTAGATAAGAGCCTAAATTACTACTAAGAAAGAATTTGTAACAGTCTTGTATAAAGCAAAGTCTTAACCATCCTTCCTTATTTGTATTTGATGCTTTTATTTTCCTAAGAGTATTTATACATAAAAGGATGCAATCTCAATATATTCATAGGTTTAATAGGAATACAAAGGGTCACTTGACATTTTGATGTTTTACTTAAATTATTTTCAAAAGCCATCTTGTAAAGAATTTTTAGTCTTTTTGAGATTTAACATAGATAAGTGAGAGACAGAGGATGAAAGGAGATTAAAAATAAATAATAAAACTTTGGGGTATGAAGTAAATACATGGAACACTAAGAAAGCTGAACTGAATAATGCAAATGCTGCTCCAGATACCGGAAGCAGGAAGGAAGAGTCCCGGCAGTTACCTGGGCGCACTTGGCTTCCTGTTTCCTTTCCCATTGTGCTTTCTTGAAGCCACAGAGCCTGGAAGAACAAAGGGTAGGAGAAGCATTACTTACCTTTCTTTCTGTATTCGAAATAATGATCACAGGTAAAGCTAAAGGGTGAGATGATCTTCTTCCTGTCCACTGAAGCCTCAAGGTCCTCCCAATATTGAAGATTCTGTTATTACCTGATTCTGACAGTTCCTTAACAGATCTCAGTGAGGCAAATCAGTTTGCTTACCTCCTTTCTGCACCCAGGTTGAAGAGAGAAGCAAAACTCAAGAGTCTAGTTAGTCCCTAAGCATTATGATTTCACCACCAGACTGGAGAAAACTGAAGATTGGGACCTGAGTTTAAGTTGCTTTAATTTTAATTGGCTGTACAAGTAGCCGTAGTCAGCTTTTGTCTGAGGTTATCTTCTTCCTTGGGTAGGAAACTGAAGTTACTACTGCTTCTGTTTGAGATACCCATACCCTTTGAGAAGGAGAAAGGGGGCTATCACTTACTGACAGTTCTGAAATTAGCTATTTTCTTTTTGTCATTCACATGAAAAAGTTTTAAGAAGCTGATAGTTGGTGGAAAGTAGAACCACTGACTTGCTAACAAATATAAAATCACGTAATTTATTTTAAAAAGAAAAATATAAAAGTTAATGAAAATTACTTACTTCTATTTTAGATTCAGTAAACATCTTGTAAGTTTAAACCTTCGTTTTTATCTCAACCTGTATTCTTGGATATTGTAAGTAAAGATATACTTGGATCTGTCACTAGAGGGCAGGCACGAGTTGTGCTTCTGAAAACCATCTTAGTATTTACTTGCTGCTACACAGCCTCTAGATATTACTATAACATTTAATTTTATTTGAAATTTCTTACCAAAAAAATCTAAAATAATCATGTTCCAAAATAGCCTGTCAAGACTCTTCCACCTGCTGTTTCTACCGAGCCATCTGTTACTTTATCAAAAAGTGATTCTGACAAGAGCTCTTCCCAAGTGCCACCCATGCTGCAAGAGTCAGAGAAATCTAAGTCAAATACTAAGCAAAATAGTGTGCCTCCTTCTCAAAGTAAGTAGTCTCATTTTGGTTCTTATTGTGTGTTCTCTGTACTGTTTATAAGTGTCACTCTCTTAGAAGTCTAAGATAGTTAGACTTCTGATCTTAGAGCAGGCTTGTCCTTCCTTTGCAAAGGCTTGATTCCTTGGAACCCTGCAGACTCAATTGTGAGGGCCAAGGAGCTGAACTCACTCCAGGCGAGAATAGTGGTGGCCAAGGACATACACAGAGGAGGACACGGTAACTGTCCGCCTGGTCCGTCCCTTTTGGGGTACACAAGTTCTTGAAACTGCAGATTATTTTGTATCTCACCCCCCTCTTTTCTCCCTCAGTTACCTTTAGTGTTCATTTTACCCATTTTCACTTTTATTTTACTAGATTGAGCCATAATAAATGATCATTTTTCTAAGTCAAAACTGGTAAAAGATCGTCCATATGGTTAAAGCAAATAATTTGTTGACATTGAAAGAAAAAAGAGGAACGCAGACATAAAGTAACTTAAAACATGTAATTAGGACCTAAAGACTTAAAAATAAAATTTAAGGCATTTTTAGTGGATTTTAAAGCATGCTTTCATTGATACTACTTTTATTTTTGAGACATAACAGGATTTACTATCCTCCTAATGTTTTTCTCTCTCTTTTTTTTTCCTTCTCTTCTTTTTCCCTTCAGCCAAGTCTGAAACTAGCTGGGAATCTCCCAAACAAATAAAAAAGAAGAAAAAAGCCAGGCGGGAAACGTGAATTTTCTTTTCCTGAATGGGACATGTGTTTGCAAACACTGTCTTGAAGATTATGCTGTTTATGCAATAATTTGTGAACATGTACAGAGTTTTATATAAATTTAAACCAATTTTTAAAACAAAACTGTGAACACAACCACCATAAAAATGGAATCAAAGGAAAGTTAATTTATGAAAATTAAGAGGTCAGCAGAATATACTACAGTGCTGGAAGACACTTGGGGAAAGTCTTTTCAATTTAATGAGAACGATCTTAATTTAAGAATATTATCCTGGTTTTACAACAGTGCCCTGTTTACAACAGATTGTGCCCTATCTCATCTGCAACTGAGGAATAAAGGATTCTTATTAGAGAGGAGGTTGCCTGCAAACTAGGCAACTTCTTGGATTTTATGCACGGAACTTATACAATTTGAATCTGTTTCATGCTTAAATCAAAGTGCTTTGATCAGATGCATAATCTGCCATATCTTTACATATTTGTTGGTAGCAGTTTGTATTAAAGGAATCACAAGTGCAAATAAAAAGTCATTTATCATTTATTTAACTAAACTGTCATGGTTTAGTTTACAGTTTTTAAAAAGTTCTTAAAACATTGAAAATGCAGTTGGCACTTATGGCTTACGAAGTTATTTTTGATAGTCTTACATTACTTGAATTATTCAAAGTACAATATATTTTAAATTAAGAAAGGTAAACTATATGTATTTGTTTTATACTTTTAAGGATGAGACTCACAAATAATGCTCTTGTTTATGATTTGAAAACTTTCAGGCAAAATGCAGCTCATATTTTTTCTTTCCCTAGCAATTACTTTTTTCCAACGTCATCTCTTCTTCATTGCTAGTACTTTTTTGACTTTAAAAGTGAAATCTTTCACAAACTAGTTCTATAGACAGAACTTTGAATATATGATGGAGAATGAAAAACTAGAGTCAGACAGCTTTAATTGACATTGTCAAGACCTCCAGTTATCAGGAATACATTTTTTTACTGCCTTAACCTGTAGTGCGTAGAATATGCATCAATTTCTTGAAGGGGGTTCGTGTTTTTATAAAAATTTTCATGTAATTATTACAATCATGGTCAAATAAGGAACGTTTCCTGCTTGAAACTGTATTGATTTAAATGACGTGTGAGCTGTTTCACCACTTTTGGCACCGTGTAATTCTATTGTAATAAACTGGCAGGTGTCTTTGTGACTATAAATAGTGCATGCTCAGCCATGTACACTGTAAATAGCCTTTACCAAACGTGTTTGACAAGGACCATAATTAACATCATATAGTGAATTGTGATTTTTTTTTAAAAGGCCATGATTTATTTGATGTTGGCTTAATTGTTTTTATGTGGCGCCAAGAATGAAACTGTTTAGCTGTAACCAATGGTACTCATCTATCCATCCAATGTTGTCTTCGTTACACTTGACTGTGGTTTGATAGTATTGCATTGTCAGTCTAGGAAGGCTAAAGAAACATGGTTTTAGTTATGCTGAAGACTGGCCTTATTAATGTGCAGCTTTCCTAACAAGCGGTTACTAACTTGTATCAGGTGTTAACATCTGTTTCAGGAACATGGCAGTATGTTTACATGTCAGAAGTTTTGTTTAATTCTATGGTATTTCTAAGTTGATTTGTTTAAATAAATTCAGCAAATGGATAGCATTGTTTTTATTTGCTTCAGTGTTGGGGTAAATATGCTACAGTGCCAGGAGTGGATTTCTTCAAATGACTTTATTCTGTTAACCTTACATAGATGATTCCTAAGTAGATCCAAGGATTCCTGAGTTGCCAGCACTTTGTAAAAATCTGACACAGGAGAATTCGGTAGGGAGTCTAATTTTAGGATGTGCCAAAAGATCTGTGCCCAGAAACTTTAGTTGAACTCTCTCAACTCTACCTCACCATTTCTTCATCTTGGAATTTTCTTGGCTGTGTCAAGTGTGGGACTTTATTTCTCCAGTGTAGTATCTCCCAGTCAACCATTTTGCCAGGTGTTAGAGAGGCTGTCTTTTAAGGAGAGATGAAGTATCAGGATGGAGAAGTGCACTGCGAAGTTGGGGTGCACCCACCATGGAGATGCTTCTGTCCTTTCTCTCTGGCTCAAGAGCCAGGACATGGATATTATATTTTATGATATGACAGCTCCGAGTGATGAAATTAGTAAGTTCATTCTTTCATGTGTGAGGTGCAAACTCTTGCACAATTACAGTAGTATTGATTGATCTTTACCTGTCCCTAAGGTCTTTATGTGATATGAAAGTAGTTTCTCAAATCTAAACACAGGAACTATTCCCCATCATCAATTCAGAAGGTACTAGAATCAAGCAGTGATTCAGGGAGGAGGGAGAGAGAGAGAATTATTGTCCTCTGGGGGGCTGGATTAGATGCTCCCCAGACTATTAGCAGGGAGAGAATTGATCCCCTTTAGTCTTTATCAGGTCTGGAGGGGAACCTTGTTCGAATTAGCAAGTAAGGCTCCTAGAGAAACTACTTTAAAATCTTCCTAATCCCTCCTGTATTCTGGATCAGGGAGTAGTGTCAGGATTTCCCCCAGACAGGAATCCTACCTATCTATACTCTGAACTAAGTGAAACAGTAGTTGAGAGAGTCCAGAAAGTATTGAAATCAAAAGTCATTCATGTAATTTGCCATGTCTGCTTTGTGCATGCGTTTTGTTGGGGTGGGGAGAGGGCAGTGGGAATAATTCATTCAAATCTAATGTTATTAATGTTATTATTTCATAGGCTAATCTGGTTTGTATTTGAGTTAAAGATATTAAAGGGCAATATTTAACTACAGAGTTTAGTTTTTCTTAAAAACAGTCCTCTATTAATATAGTGTGAAATATTTTTCAAAATTTAGAAATTAGGTTTAAGATGTCTAAGAGATGTCTTAAGTCTTTCCTGTAAACTCGTTGCACAAACTGGAATTACTTTCCAAAAGACTTAGGGAATGCAAATATGTTATTTGTAAAATGCATTGAGATTGTAAATAAAACAAACCATTTTTGTTTTGTTTAAATTGCTCATTATAGTTCTCTTATGGGGAGGGTCTTCTCAGTCATTTTGCATCTTAAAGTAGTCTCAAGTCATTTACTTCTTGATATTCTCAATGTTTCTGTCTGAAACCAAAGGAGCACTTGCAGCCTTTACCAGTCAGACATTTGGAGTGGAGCACCTCCTAGAACGTCCGTCCATGATGCTGTGGGAAATGGCTTCGTCTCACATCATGGTAGCAGTGGGCATAACTGCCACCAGGTACATTATGTCAGCTGTGCCAGCCTTTAGATTACAACGTAAACAAGATTGTTTATCTCTCCCATGTAAAAGTCTGGGAAGGCAGTCCAGGAGCACGGTGACACTGCAGGGTTGTGTCTGCATTGCTTCTGTGCCGCTCCTCCTGGTGCTCAGCGTGTGGTTTTCAGGTCACAGCTGCACAGAGTTGCATCAGCCAGAAAGGTCCTGTTGGCATTTCTGTCTCCTTCCTCTAAGAACAAGTCTGACACATTGCTCACACCCCATGGGTTTATCAACCCAAACTTAATCACTGGCTCCCTAGCTACAAAGAGGGATGGGAAATAATCCTTGTTCTGGGCTGTCATGGGCCAAATTAACATTTCAGGATTCATTACCGAAGAAGCAGCCGAGAATCGGGGACGAGGCACAGCTAGTACACTAGGTGTTCTCCACCCAAACCATTGTTTTTAAGGTCAGGTTGTAGCTTATCCAGTTCAGCAGAAATGATGAAATCTTTTGGATGCTGCTCCAAATAGCAGCTAAAAATGTTCCAATTTATATGTAATAGATTCTGGAGGAAATGTCTGCCCCTCAATGAAAGCTTTAAATTACAGGAAAAGGCTGAAAGAAACTTAGTAGCCTGTCATACCTGTACTTCAAGTATAGATTACAGCAAGTTTCAGTAGAATTACTCTGGTGTAGAAAGAAAAGAAGTCATTGCTACATTCTTTCTAAATAATTTAACGGGAGAGTAATTTCTAACTAACATTAGTACAGGCGTATGAGGTGTATTAAAGGGTGTTTGCTGACCAATAATCATTGCTGAGGTTTATGAATAGGCTAATTGGAATTAAGGTCATCCCCATGATAATGGCATTTTTATTTGTATATGTGTGCTTTTTTAATTTATTGTATCAAAGCATTTAAAATGAATATATGTAACATGTACATAAATTATAAAACATAATAAAATGGACACCTGAACTACCATTCTGCTTAAGACATAGAACATTACCAGTGGGGATATTGGGGGTGAACTTGACTTTTGTTGTCTGGTAACGGGATCAAGGGGGAAAAGCCATGGGTGAAAATAGCTCTCAAATGCCCCAACTTATCATAGGTCCTTTTTGGTGCCAGAGCTGGCTAAGGGGCCCAGGTGGCCTCATCATGGAGAGATACCAGGGAAGCCTCCCTGGCGCTGGGAAACCAATATTTGGGGACAATGACTGCATATGAATGATGGCGCCAGAGTTGTATAATGGACGTGCCGTGGCAGGCTTTGCATGAGGAAGGAAGACAGTGTGGCTCCAGCAGGGAGCTTACCCGAGGCATTCAGATGAACAGCAGGTGCCCGGCTGAGGGGCAGGGTTCCTTGTGAAGTTTGCTGAGAGGCTGCACAGCTTCCTGGCAAACACCGCAGCAGGGTTTATGGCAAAACAGCAAGAGCTGTTAGTCACTTAGGGGAATTATGATTTCTTTCTCATCTAAACCATCTGTAAAAAGAGATAATAAAAGTTGCAACTGTTCCCATTTCGTAACAAAAGTGAAACCAGTAAAGTGACAGATGTAACAAAATCTGTCTTAGCACTGGAATGAGGAAAGGAGGCATTATGTTATTAGCAAATCCAGCAAATAAAATTGATCAAAAGAATAAAACACCCACCAAAAATGCAAGTGTCAGCCAGTGTCAGTCTGTTAATATACTTCATTTTGATCACTAAATTAAAGCAGAAAAGGTGTTTATGACTGTTAAAGAAGTTTTTTAAGAATCCATTCCAAATGTAGGTTTTTTAAGCTTCAAATAGGTGAAATACCAAAATATTGGTTAAATCTGGATTTAATCTTGATTCAATCAGGGCAAGGCAGGATTACCTGCTAGCCAGCATTGTCTTATATGTGGGTTGTAGGTTGGTAGAAGTTCCTGGGGCCTAGAGACCAAAGAAAGAAGCTGACAAGTCCATCACTAATTACATCAGGAGTTTATGAAGGCACATGGCAGGCACTAAAGAATTATATAGAACGGGGCAGGATAGGCAGGGGTCCTTGTGCCTGACGCAGCCCAGATAAGGAGAAATGCATGACAGGCTCGCTGAGGTCAGGGCACAGGCCTGTCCCACGAACCAGCACGTGGGAGGCGGAGAGAAGGGGTCCACGAGTCAGTCTCAGGGCCATGCGGGAAGCAGCCTGTTCTGGCTAGGCTTGATCTCCAGGGTCCAGCGGCAGTCACTTCCTGGAACTGTCATCCACAAGATTAACATAGAAAATTTAAAAATTGGTATAACATCAGAAAAGAGAAATTTTTTCCTGACTGTATACCTAGGAAAACCAAGATAAAAGGCGGCCAATACAGGGGAGAGAATACACTAAGGAGGCAGATACACAGAAACCAAGTTCCCTGTACTAGAATCAGCACCTACACAAAGAAATGGAGGGAAAAAATTTTGATCACATCACAGCTAAACCTATCATATCTGGAAATAGGTATTTTGAGAAGACAAGACCAAATGGGAACTGTAAGTTCTTACTGAAGGACAGAAAACAATCTGGCAAATGAAAAGCTGTCCATCCCTTATTTAGAAAACAAAATTACCAGTCTTGCCAGAGTTAATATATAAATTGAGCTCAGTCTCAATTAGAATGCAACAGATTTTTTAAAGTACCTCAAGGTTTATGGAAATGAATTATATGAAAAAGATCAGGTTAAAAAAAAAGTAGTGGGCAGCAGCAGGAGATGGACAGGGACTAGCCTTATGAGTACCAGACAGCAGAATAAAAGATAATAAAAGTGGCTCGCCCTGGCTGGTGTGGCTCAGTGGACTGAGCACGGGCCTGCACACCGAAAGGTCGCTGGTTCAATCTTTGGTCAGGGCACTTGTTTGAGTTGAGGGCTGGGTCCCCAGCTGGGGGCATGTAAAATGTAGCTGATCTGTTGAAAACTCCGACCAGAGGTGTTTGCAGTGTTGTAGATGCAACGAACAAATTCACACGGACTGCAGAAGTCCTGTGGAGAAAAAGGGATGGCACGGCCACTCTCTGAGTGAGAGAGCGCCCCAACTCTTGTCTGGACAGGCTTTTACTGCTTTTCTGGGAGCACTACCTCAAGGAAGGTCTTCATCATTGTCAGGCAGTAATGATCAAACAATAGACAACATTCAAAGAACTATGGGGGCTCTTTCTGAGTCAGGGTCAGCTAGCTAAAGGGCCATAAAACTTTGGGGAACAAATTCATTTCATGCATGGACCCTTATCATTTAAATTGAGGGTATTAGCAAAGCAGGTTTCACAGGATTTTATGCATTCTTTCTTAGGCCTGATGGCCCCAGGGAACCCGCCTTTTCCAGCACAGGGCCGCACCCACCTCCAGCATTGTTTCAGGCTTAAGTCAGGCAGGGAAGTGAGGCAGCCAAGAGATTAGCAGACTTCTTGCAGACAGAATGAGGACTCAGGCTTGTCAAAGCCCAGGGGTGAGGGTCCATCACCCCCTTTTTCTATAGCCCCCCAAGTCCTTTATTGAGGGCCCCTTTGTGACCGTGCCTGTCCCAGATCATCCCTCCCTTCAGGGAGCTAACCAGTCATCTGCCTGGAGCCAAGCAGGGTGAAGTAAAGGGGGCGGAGGCAGTGCCACTGCCAGGAAGATAAGCTTTGTCTCCTTAGTGGCTTGTGGTCGCATGTTCTCTTACTCAGCCTTAACCGTGGTGGGGGGGGGGGGGGAGTTATTGCTTGTGAAAGCAGCCAGGGTGGTTCCCAACACTGATCCATGCTTCTCTCCCTTTCTCCCTTCCTTCTCCTCTCTATAAAAATAAATAAAATCTTTGAAAAAAAAATAAAACTGAGAGCCCAGTAGGGAAGGACAAAGACTCTAAGTTCTTTCCCCCGAGCTCTTTGTTAGAGTCCCTAACTCAAATACGGAGCAACCCCACCCCCTTCGCTGGACTTTACTGCAAAGCCAGAGCAGTGGCAAGTCTTTTTAAGGCCCTAAGTGGCAGGTGGGACATTATAATCACAGTGCCAGCTCAAGAAAACAATGGCACTAACAGGGTACCAAGGGCATCTTTGACTCCAAAGCAAATGATTTTGCTTGTGAGTGCTGACTACCGACCTACAGCCTTGGCACCTACCATCGCCCACCATAGGGCAGGTGTAAAAACCCAGGGAGGAATCTGAAACCACCACAAGGTGGAGATTTGAACACCGGGTATTTGCACACCGAAAACCAACCTCTGACCGCCACTTTTCAGACAGAGAAGTGGGTTCCATCCAGGCTGGGCCATCAGGAGGTCACCCCTGGAAGCACTGAGTGAAAGGGAACATAGCCTAAAATACAAAATGTCTTATACATTAGGCACTGCTTGTAATAGTACAGATATCTACCAACAGGTGCTGGTTGAAGAAAGTATGTTGCATTTGGTAATGGAGTTCTACACAGCATAGAAAGGAATGGAGAAAATCTCCATATGTCGCTATCTCATGATCACAGGATGTATCACTAAGTGGACCTTCCACGCAGGTCCTTCACAGCCTGATTCCAATTTACATTTCGTCTTTGTCTCCCCCTGGTCCTCGTGGGAGACGTTCCTGGCTGTCCTTGCTGCCCACTCCACCTGGAGAACCCTTCCAGACTACAGAGTCAAGTTCGAGGCAAGTACAACCCTGTGGAACTTTCTCAGTGTTAGAAATGTCCTATGTTCATGCTGTGAAGTACTGAGCACTTAAAATGTGGCTAATGTAACTGAAAAACGAAACGTATATTGCCTTGTATCTAAATTTAAAGAGCTACACAGCTGACCTCTTCAAAGTAAGTCTAAATACTGTCTTCTGCAATCTTTCCCTGATGTCCTCAGCCCTCATCTAACTCTGTCTCTCACACACACACACACACACACACACTCTCTCTCTCTCCCCCCCCCGCACAGTGCTGGCTGGCAGCTATATCTGCCCAAAGGTATCCATTACACTCCAGATTACCACCACCCCAGTTTCCTCAGTGGGCATGTGTAAGTAAGTGCTTTGAGACCCTCTAGGTCTATCACCTTTCTGCACCCCACAGCGCCTTCCACACAGTAGGAATGCAAGAGCCATTTGTTGGATGGATGGTTAACTTTGACGAGTAATTGCAATGTCCAAACATAGAAATTGGCCTGTGAGCAAATTTGCCATTTGGGCCTACGTAAGTATACAGTTTAATTCTGAGCTTAAAGAATAAGAAAGGTAAATAAAAGTTTACCTTTAGAGTGTACGTAGGTTACTTTCACCTTATGCTGTTCCGATCCTTGCCCTGACCTCCAGAGGTTACTGAGACCAAACTGCTTTCTCCAGCACAAGAGTGATTTACGAATTCCCCGAGGCCTATGGTTCTATTGTATTTCGCACTATATGCTGTTCCTCCATAGAAACCAATGAAAACTTTGTAACAGTCTAACAAATTTAAAGAATCACTTGCCCTGCAATATCTTCAATTACAAGTAAAACTTTTTAAAAAAAGATTTTATTTATTATTTATTTATTTTTAGAGAGAGAGGGGAAGGGAGGGAGAAAGAGAGGGGGAAAAACATCTATCGGTTGCCTCTCATAGATGCCCCTGCTGGGGACCAAACCCACATCCCAGGCATGTGACCTGACCAGGAATCCAACCGGAGACCTTTCACTCTGGGGGTTGAGCCCAACCAACTGAGCCACACCAGTCAGGGTTTGAGCAAAGCCTTTTTAAAATTAAACCTGTTAATTTTGAGATTACTGTTGATTGTTATGGCATTGTAAGAAAGAATACAGAGCTCTTCACGCAGTTTTCCTCAAAGGTAATACCTTGCAAAGCTCTAGTACAATACTGAAGGCAGGAAACTGACATTGATACGACCCACCATCGAATTCAGATTTCCTCAGCGTTAGGGGCCCTTCTGTGTGAGTATTTAATAATGCACAATCTTATCATGTGTAGATTCACGGAATCAGCACCAGCCAAGATGCAGAGCAGCCCCAGCACCACACGCTGC